GGGGTGGTCTGGGGTAGAGGGGAGGCTGCACAGTGGCCTTGAGTAGATGACAGGGCTTGGCCTTGGCTCCGGTCCCCAGCGGCTCACCCACAATCGCAGAGGGAGATTTCCAGGCTTGTAGCCATGCTTCCAGAATGACAGCTGGTGGTGCAACACAGCTGTGAGCTTCTCCGGCTACTTTCAGCCACGAGGGTGCAGGTGCAGAGTTACAACGCTGAATTTAGCCAGGACTGTTTCTCTGGGCGCTGACAGTGCAGGGAGAGAAGGGCGAGGGAGTGAGGGAGTCAGGACAGTGACATTCCCTGACACTGAGCCAGTTAAGGGCAGGAGTGAGGGCCCAACGTGGTTATAGATACGGAAGGGGTGGAGGGTCAGTGGACGGGGGCCTGGGGGGCCTGGGAAGTCAAAGAATTCCCAGAATCGTGGCACCAGAAGGAGTGAGCAGAAAATGGAAGCGTCGGGGAGTGGGTGTTTGGAGTCCAGGGCAGGAAGTGCAGGAGTTGGCAACGAAAGTCTGGGCACGAGCATCGGGGTACTTGGGCAGAGGAGACATCAGGAAGGGAGGGGCGGTGGAACCAATGGCAGGGCACAGGAACCACGGTGACTGACATCAGCGTCACCAAGAAAGGCTGGTGCCGGAGAAGGCGGCAGTGATCCAGGAGCAAAGTCTTCAAGAAGAACAGGGACTGAGGTGGGGGTGAGTGACCTGGGGGTCCATAGGTGACTGCGAGGAGGAAGTGTCTTGTCTGATGATGCGTCAATTTTCAATCACGCTTGATGTACAGTCAGCAATATCATAACCCGGAATGGAAGGGGCAGGGCGGTCTGACTAGACTGGAAAATTTCCAGGGGAAATGAACGTCTTTGGGTCGTGCAGTGCGGGAAGGGGCAGAATTAGGTGAACCGACTCGTGCATACTCCTGGAAGCACCCCAGAGTGGACTTCCCCAGCAGCAGGCCCTGTGGACGGGGCGCGGGGCTGGCCTGCCTCCCGCACTGTGCACGCCCAGGGTGACCTTTGGCACCTTTGGCACGACATCCTTCGAAGGCTCCTCCAACGTGAAATAGGCTTTTACAGGTGGAGGGTCCGAGGATGCCGTGAAGCTTCACCCCAGAGGAATACTTTACAAAATGGTAGAATTTCTGTTCCCAGAGCAGCCACTGGGGAGAGAATTCTGGGAGGAGGGGCCCTCCTGCCGTCTCTGACCTCCCTGTGGTGATGGCTGAGCTCTCAAGATATAGAGCAAATAGAGGCGTGCCCTCACTCAGGGCCCTGCCCTTCTAGCTCCTGTTCCTGGGACAGGTCGGGACTGACCATGCCTGGAGGTCCACATCTGCAGGGGCTTTGAAACAGATGTTTGTTGTGAAGCAGCGTGGAAAGCACGGCTACTTGTAACATCTGATGCATTCCTTAAGCTTTGTGTTCTCTGATGTTCCCTGCAAGAATGCAAAACCTGGGATCTGCCTGTGAGGCGCTGGCCAAGGAGGGACATTTTAATCCCACTCCCACCAAACCTGCTCCCGTACACCCACAAAGACAGCTGGGGTGCAGACTCCAGAGGAAGGGGCAGCTGTGGACAACTCTAAGTAAGGCTGGGGTTAGATGTGTTTATATAACACGCTTCTTTAAAAAAAAATAAAGTCTCTGTTGACACAACTTTATGGGAAGTCTTTCTGCTAGAGCACTTTTGCTTGTTTTTATTTAACCTGATGACTATTTTATTTTATTTTTTTTTTATTTTTTTTTAAATTTTTTTTTTTTTTCTTTTTCAACGTTTTTATTTTTATTTTTGGGACAGAGAGAGACAGCGCATGAACGGGGGAGGGGCAGAGAGAGAGGGAGACACAGAATCGGAAACAGGCTCCAGGCTCCGAGCCATCAGCCCAGAGCCTGACGCGGGGCTCGAACTCATGGACCGCGAGATCGTGACCTGGCTGAAGTCGGACGCTTAACCGACTGCGCCACCCAGGCGCCCCAACCTGATGACTATTTTAAATGGAAGCCAACCCCCTCCTCCCCCAAAAAAAAAACCCTCAGAGAATGTCTCCATCGGCCTGTCTGAAGTGGTATTTTGATGTTTCTGGAAGAGGAAAATTGTTAAGAATCTTGGAAACCTTGAGAAAACTTGAGAGAATAGAGAGTCATGTTGCTTTCCAGTTGGTGAGATCATTTTTTTAGGATCTGAGAGATGACGGTTGACAGAAGAAAAGACCTCATGATGCTTGTACAGTTGTGTTCTCCCCACCCCTTCTTTTAAAAAAATTTTTTTAATGTTTATTTATTTTTGAGAGAGACAGAGCATGAGCAGGGGAAGGGCAGAGAGAGAGGGAGACACAGAATCCGAAGCAGGCTCCAGGCTCTGAGCTGTCAGCACAGGCCCGATGCAGGGCTCAGACTCATAAGCCATGAGATCATGACCTGAGCCGAAGTCAGATGCTTAACCGACTGAGCCACCCAGGCACCCCTTTCCCCACGCCTTTAGCAACAACTAGGGAGAAGGATGGATGCATGGATGGATGGATGGAAGGAAGGATGAATGAATGGAAAGAGAGAGAGAGAGAGAGACAGAGAGAGAGAGGGGAAGGGCCAGAGAGAGAGGGAGGCACGGAATCTGAAGCAGGCTCCAGGCTCCGAGCTGTCAGCACAGAGCCCGACGCGGGGCTCGAACTCACGAACCGTGAGATCATGACCTGAGCCGAAGTTGGACGCTTAACCGACTGAGCCACCCAGGTGACCCTACCATTAACCTTTTGTGGGAGAGATCGGGATGTTACTAAGTGGGAAATGTTTGGCACTTCCTGAAGTTAGTGGACGGTCTAGTGGATCATCATAAAGCTTCAAAGCAGTTTTCATCACACCAGGAGCTTGGACAAATGTTGATGTACAAGCCCCACCTAAAGTTCAGTTGAATGAGGAGGGGCTTGGACATT